CTCGGGCTCTAAGTAGGGAGCTCGGGCCTGCTGGTCCCTTCCCTTTGGCGTTTGTACCCTCGGTATGGTCTTGAGTTCCGAGCTRTTTGCCTTTTTTGCCACGTGCCGTGATTTGCGAGGTCGGACCAAATCTTCTTTCATCAACTACTACTACAAAAAATGATTTTGACCATTTCATTTTTCCTATACTAAGAGAAAATCACTCCATTTTACATGATTACATCGGTTATCGGTGCTTTGTGGCTTAAATTTTTGCATAATAACGTCAGAGTTTTTTTTTTTCTTTTTGATTTTTTTTCCTTTGCATTTAATCTCAAGATGAACATTTAAAATGAAAGGTGTCCAAATAACGTAAATGAAATGAATACTTTATTCGACCTCTAAACTCCCCGCCCCAACCCTTCAAAGTTTCTTGATCCATAAAAAATAAATCCACGACCTAAGGAATTACTAGAAATGGATTCATATTGTATATATTTGTATTTGTACGCTTTCTAAATTGTACAAATATAAATGTGTACAAAATAATATAAAATATCAGGTTTTTCACTTTACATATTTGTATTTGTACTCCTTTCAAGGATTTACTTTGAACTCAATTGTTAAAAAGCAGTTGAAAGAAATGATTCATTCTGTGTCACTTCCAAATGGCCCGTTAGTTAACGTGTTGATAACTTCAAGGAAAAGGAAATTCGGAATGTGGGAAACAAGCACAGAATAAATCATGTTGGTCTGATATAAATATTACATGGCGTGATAGGAAATCCTCTGTTCCATGTAGGGAGTAAGAGTTAATCAAATAGGTATGAGTGTTTTTTGCAAGTAGACAAGTACTGTTAAGTAGTTAAGTTTGTCTTAAAGGGGCTTTGGTACAGGCTAGTAATTAATCCATTTATGCAAGGTGAACAGCAACCGTTGGTTGGAACTCGTCCGGAACCTTGGGAGGCTCAGAGCAAAAGCGAAGCTGAGGTGAAGCTTCGGCACTGAGGCTGCTGGGTTCTGGTTTGTCCGTTAATTTCATTGGCGTTACTTGGGGATATGGATCCCTGCTCACCAACCTGCAGAGAACAAGAAACGCCAGGTTGATGAATGATGGATAAAGATAATAACATATTTTCCCATTTTAAAATTTCTTCTTTTTCTTCCCTCCCTATTTACTACGTCAAAAGAATAATTAAAGTTATTAAACAGTAAAATAAAGGTTGGACGACTTTGTGGTATAACGGACCGTCTTATTTGAATGCCATTACTTGGATTTACTATTACTCAAAATTAGTTGCATCAAGATGATTGGAATAAGATCATCCAATCTGGGCAAGCTACTGGAGCTCCTATCATGCAGTCTAAAGTGAAATGGTCTGCCAGAAGAAACAAATGGATCCAATTGAACAGAGAGGAAGTGGGTACCTGTCTCGTCGCTTCTCCAAGAAGCGCTGAAGGGAGTGTCTCCTTGCAATTGGAAGTTCTGTTCCAAGAGAGACAAAAGTTATAAAGGACAAGATTTTATTTGATTAGGAAGCAGAGTAAGCATGGAAAGAAGAGTCGGGCACTACATTCTGTTTGACAAACACTTATATTCTGTAGCTTCACTTTTAGTCATTTATTTTCATTTTTCATATCTTCTTTACCAGCTTGCAGTTTGCAGAGGGGATCGGTCTCCATGGGACGAGGTTGAGGCTGAGGACAAACCACGGCAGCTGCAGTGCTCTGGAGGGATGGAGACCTTCTGAGAATAGGTGAAGCAACTGGACAGGGAACTCCACCATCCTTGATATTTGAGTCATTAGAGGCAATGGCAATTGCAGTGGTGGATGCAGCAGCAGCAATAAGCATAATTTGTTGGGCCTTTTAAGATGGGCAAAAGAAATCAAATGTCAAAAGAACTTGAAAGGCTCAGTTTGGAAGGAGTACAAGTACAAATGTGTACAGTGCAAAACCTTGCATTTTGTATTATTTATTATGTATTTGTACTGTACATATTTGTATCTGTACTCCTTCCAAAGTCCAAACTGAGCCTAAGCATCTAACTTGAGCAAATACTTATCATTGTATATTTCTTCTTTGTTTTTGATGGAGGTATATTTCTTCAAATACTTGTGGTTGTATATTCACAAATTTGTATGGCAGACCTTTTCTGGTGTAACTGCATCGAAGATGCTAACAGTTCCAGAATAGAAGATGGTGAGCTGAGCTGGAGGAGAACTGGTATTTGTTCCAGATGTTAGAACCGTTGGAGACCTCAAACAACCAAAAGAAAGAAATCATGTCAGTATGAAATTCAAACATAAATGTCAAATTTCCCCTATCTATACTATATAAAGTGGATACTTGCATTGATTTTGGTGCAAGTCATAATGTCATATAAGTTAAATCTAATATGTTAATAGTTACTTGTACATATGTATAGCATGTGCTCCTACACTAGTATCTAAAATGTAATTTTTATTTTTCTGTGAGGTGAGTTAAGATCAGTGTCCTGGATAAATCATTTAAGGAAGGAATGTACTAATAAAACAAGACTAAGAAAAAGTAGTGAAATTTGGTGCTGATGGTTTGGTAAATAGAGTTTTGGAGTCTCACATTCCCTAGGTATGTTTGGTTTGATAGAAAATAAGAGAAGAAACAGAAAGTTGAAGGAAATTTTATAAGGAAAGAAAATCTATGATGCCAAAAAGACATAATACCAAAGGAGTTTTGACCAATCAAACCCATGGTGAAATTTGATTAATTCCACCTAATTGGTTAATACGTTTATATACTGGTTGATTGGTCATATATATTTTGGATATCATGTTTTTCCGATAACATAGTTGAACCTATTTAGAAAATTTCCTCAACTTTCTGTTTCTTTCTTATTTTATATCAAATCAAGCACAACCAAATTTTTAATGAATTCCTGGGCTTAATATTAACAAAGAGATGAGAATGTTTAGAATATCATCTGCATAATTGTATCACATGATACGAAACTATAATGCAAGTAGAAGATTCGGGGCAAGTTGTTCTTTTGTCTGTTTTAAATGTTCACTTTTTAAGTTTGTTTATGTTTTATTGCTAGAGAACCATAAATTGGAGTTAGTTGCATTGGTTGGTGGGTTGGCGTCTTGGTGGTGAGACTGTATGTGACCATTCTGGTGTGTGTTATACCAATTTCTTAATTAGGTGCCTATCTTGAACGGTTTTCTGTCATTCTCTTCTTTACTTTGCCGCCATCTGGATTATGGGCTTGTAGACAAATGAAAGGCTGCATAAATTCACATGGAACTTTGTTGTGTCCATACACGAAAAATACAGACTTGTTCACTGTAGTAATAGGGTGAAGGCATCTTTTATATGTGTTCTTTCTTGTAAGACAGGCACTATCATCCCTGTGTCTGTGTACACCAACACTATTTGGCTGAAGACCACAGCAATTTTCCACCTATACCCAGAAGGTCCCTATTTTACATATTCATTAAATTTATTTTATTAATTTGCAATAATTCGTTAAGCAATACTCTATCCAAGAGGTTTTCTTTGACCTGTTTCTTTTTTAACTAAATGGAAACAACATCGACGCAATTCATTTTTTTCCGGTAAACATGGAATTTCATTAACACAAGAGAAAAAGCTACAAGCCTACAACAAATACACAGAACAGCAGAAAGAACAGCCAACAAAAAAAGAAATTGCGGCAATTTGGTTTTCTGGTAAATTGACGCAATTCTCATCCTACCCGAGACTGAGAGGGATTCAAATCCAATGGATAACAGATATTCGGATATTGGAACAAAAGGGCCCGCGAAATAGAATTTTTCTACACCGTCCAAATATATGCAGAAATATGCATTTGCTATCATATATCAAATTGGATTTGCAAATCATATATCAACTGATTTTTTTGCCCTGGTGATCTCCCTCTAGGGAGCAATGAATAATGCGTTCATATCCTCTAAATATGAGAAACGTGGCAAATTGTGCCCCATTCTGGACCAGAATCCAACTATCTAAGTGGTTTATGGTCGTGGAGAAACCAGAAGTGTCAGGACGAGGTGGAGATGGTTGATCTAGGTCCTAGATCAGGCTTCAAATCCATTTAGAATTTTAGAGTGAGGTGGAGAGGACTCGGAACACAGAGGTTATATAAAAAGTTACTAACATATACTACTATTGCATATACCTGGTTTGAAGAGCTGTGTGCAAATGGGGCTGGAACTCCTGGAAAAACTTTTTCCCAAATAGTTCGACGCTCTCAGCTATGTCCATTTCTGATCGCTTTCCCGCGCCGACATCGGCGTTGTTGTGGGTCTCCGCGTTGTCCTTCTCCTCCATTTCTTCTTCCGCCGCCTTCTCCATCTTATTCTCCTCGTCTCCTGGCTCTATTTCAGGCTTTCCGGCCTTCTTCAATAAGTCCATTCAGAAGTACCTCCGACAAATTAAGATATCTTACTGCCTGATTTTGATCGACAGATCTATCCTATTTATATGTGTAAAACTGTAAACTGCTCTTGTGTGAGGWTTCAGAACCGAGGATGATCAACCTTCAGATATAAGGACATCGGTAAAGAACGGAGGGGAGGGCAAACTAGGTGCCTTACATAATATTAAATGCAATAAAGCCGACAATAGACCTTAAATTAATCACGTGTCAATTTTTAGCAAGTTGATTAATATATACACGTAGATCCTCGATTCCTCGGGAAGGTGAAAACTGGCTCAGGTGTCACAGTATTTTGTTGGGTGATCATGGCCCTATTTTCTCTTATTTAGTCCCTTTTAATTTCTATTTTTTTCTTATTAAATATTATATTTAAGTGATTTTTTATTAATAAAACGTTATTAATTAAACATATCAATATTTTTATGATTAAACTTCTTAAAATACCCTTAACGTTTAAAAAATTTACTAACTATATCTTTTACTGTTTTAGTATTGTCTTAAATTATTCCTACTATTTCGAACAATTGTCATCATCCTTAAATCACAATGGAAAAAATAAAATATTGAATTTATTCTCTATTATTTCTTAAATTTTCAAAATAAAAACCAAATGCTGATAAGGAAAGGGAAACAGGGATTTTTTGTGTGAGCAATGAACGTATCGTTGTTTCGGTTATGGCGACCGAAGTGATGACAAAGATCGGTTTCAGAAGGTCATGGCGTTGAATGAAGTCAGCTAGAGACGGGGATTCTATAGCCAGACGTTCTCTCATGCAAACTAACGTTTGTTGAAATTTGGGTTTATTAGTTTGCAAATAAGTAGATGAGAACGATGATGAAAAGCCAGCGACAAAATGCCGGCACACATGATGAATTGTTCATGCTCTCACACGCAAAACTTAAGAATGATGGATATACTACTAAAAATTTCAACATTTTTTTCCAAATTCATCATCTGAAATATCAACCAAAAACCTTAAGCCCYGTTCGTTTTTCGATAAGTTATTTATCCGGGTAAATACAATTATCTGAGTAAGTTTTTCCTGAAAAACACTTATCGAGGTAAGTATATTTATCTATATTCTTTTATTTCCCAAATAAAAAAGGAAATGACCATTTTAACCATTCTTGTACTATAGGATYAGTGACAAAGACCCCCCTATACTTTAATTTGCGACAAACACTCCCCTGAACTTTAACCGTTATACAAAGACCTCCTTCCTTTAGTATTCCGTTAATTAACCTTGAAAAAGATTTTTATTTAGCATTTTAATTTTTTTAATCCCTAAACTACCATTTTATTGTATATTTGAACAATGAGAAGAAATCATCGGCCAAATTGCCGTGGATCATTCTCCAAGTTCCTGACACCATGAAAATGAAATAATCTCAGTTACTTGAACATCAAACATACCATAACACCTAAAAAGAACCAGTAGTGGACAAAATCACCAAGGACAAGAGAATCAAAATTTTTCTAGCCAATAGAACTCTATTATGTATTCACTCAAACACAGATCTAAGATGTAAGAAATGGCTTGAGGCTGTTGAGCTACTCTCCTACCTATTGCAGATTTGAAAGCCCTCTCCCGGTCAAAGTGAAGAGTAGAGAGATCGGTGAAGAAGAAGGCAAGGGTGGTCCCGTGGTACCCGAGTCAATGTTGAAGAAGAGAAAGAGAAGTGAGGAATGGGCCCTGCAAGCGAAGAAGCAAGAGGTTGATGCCGCGAAGAAGAAGACTGGAGAGAATTGAAAGCTTATCTTCAAAAGAGCGATGCAATACGCGAAAGAGTATGATGAGCAGCAAAAAGAGTTGATTCAGTTGAAGCATGAGGCTAAGTTGAAAGGAGGATTTTATGTCATCCAGAGGCTAAACTATGGTTTATCATCCAAATCCATGGAATCAATGCAATCACACAAAGACCAAAAAGATTTTGAAGCTTTTACGTTTAGGACCGATATTTAATGGTGTCTCTCTGAAGGTAAACAAAGCAACAATATTGAACATGTTGCATCGGGTGGAGCCTTGAAGAGTGTTCGTAAATTGATCTACAAGAGGGGTTATGGGAAGCTAAACAAACAAAGAATTGCATTGAATGACGATTCAATTATTGAACAGGCTCTTATGGGAAGTATGGAATATCATATGCATAGAAGATCTTGTCCATGAGATCATGACTGTTGGTCCCCACTTTAAGAGGCAAACAACTTCTTATGGCCATTTAAGCTCAAGTCTCCATTGGATGGGGTTTGAAAAAAGAAGAGGACCCATTATGTAGAGGGAGGAGATGCTAGAATCCATGAAGATTACATCAATGAGTTGATCAAGAGGATGAAGCATCCACAAAAGGTCATTCTGACCCTTCTTCACAACAACCAAGTTCAGAACTGATAGGTTTGGGCTGACAATGCAACCACGAAGAGACTTCCTTCCCGCTCTAACACTCTTTATTGTGTCTGCCATATCCACGGAAGCATGGTATGCCTCTATGTACTCCCTATTTCATGGGGAATCTTTGCTTGTCACAACCTCCCATAATTTTGAAAACATAACCCTTAATAACTCACCAAGAGCATCTCCATTGACTTCCTATGAGATCCTCTTGTCAAAAAATGCTTGGAGTTTCTGGTCATCGTCGATTTCAACCTTCTTCTGGCATCTAACATCTTGTAGTAGGATTTGCAATATTGAATTTCATCTTTGATCTAGTGTCCTTGCCGTCATGACGAGCAGATGAGGCAGAAAAGATCTGCAGAGCTGAGGAAAAATAGCGGCCAGTGGGCACCCACCATCTTTAAGATATTAAAAAAATGGGTTTCCTCTACATCAATTTCCAGTCATTAAATTTGATCGGATTTTTTCCAATTTGATCGGGTGGCTTGCCCTATTTTTAATTCACCATGTGGAATGACCGAGTGACAATGAACTCAGCAGACAGCATGTTGCTTAGTACAGTTATAATCACAAGCAGTGGTCAAATGACCAACATCCACAATTTGTTGTTTTCAAAGAAGATCGAAACTGACTCTTCCAAATCTGTCTCTACTGATGATGAGAGTTGGATTTGTTATTGCATTTGGGACCGAAAAAAGAATTACTGGATTGGATTGATAATTTAAGAGAAAAGGGTTTTTAAAGAGAAAAGGGCAATGAAAAGAAAATAAATTTTATGGGTATTTTGGAAATTTAATAGATTCTATCATCTGACTTAACAGCTAGGGGGGTATTTGTCACATGGTAAAAGTTCAGGGGGGTGTTTATCGCAAATTAAAGTATAGGGGGGTCTTTGTCACTAATTTTATCGTACAAGGAGGATCTTTGTAATTTACCCTAAAAATTTATTATCAAGAAGACATTTTTGTCTCATTCAAGTATTTGAAACTTTTCCCCTAAATGGGAAAGTTATTTATCACCTAATCTAAAAAAAGAATGCCCCCTAAAAGCCAATGTGGATCTAAGAGATTTGGAGCTAAGATTTAACGTCCTAGGGTTTTTGATCATTTATACCACTAATTTAAACAGTCCTTAGTCATTAAATAATCAAAATAACTTTATGGCGTATCACTGACATCATAGCGGAACCTTTTAGTCATAAAGTACTTTAGAATCATAATGTTAGAATAAAATTTTCTCATTACCTTGGAGTTTATGCAATTATCAATTAAACTTATATTTTAAATCCGTCATTAGAGCAAGTTTTAATAAAAAAATATTTTCATAATTTTTCAAACATGTTAAAGTCTTTTTCTCTAAATAAATTATTAAAGTATAATAATTCAAGTCATGGTTTTGAAAACTAGAGCAGACTGAACAATAGGAACAGTATGATTCTAAAGTACTGTTGACCCATGACCCAAAAAATACTTGAAATTAAAAAAAAAATAAATGAAAAATGTCAAAATTAAAAGAATTAATCTTAAAATTTTAAATATAAAATAAAAAACTTAAACATTTAAAAATTTAAAGAATAAACAATAAAAAATAAAGACTAAATAGAAAAAAGTAAAGAGTGGAAACTTCTAATAATGCATAAATAATTCCAATTAGACTTGACAATTGCGTCAGCGGGTTGATCCATGGTCCAACCCAATCTAATCCAATTTTTTCGGATCGGATCGGGTCATTTTCACATTCGCTAGCAAATATGAGACCCTAAACCTGTTTTTTCGGGTTAGATTGGGTCGAATCAACTTTTTGCCAGGTCTAATTGTGGGAGGTCCATCAACTTTTTGACGAATCTAGATCAAACGAAGGTAAGCCGTTTTCGTGACTGTGACACACCTCTACCTCGAGTGTGGGTATAAACTTTAAAGAATAGAAAACAGTATCAGATTACTGCCGAGTCTGGCAAGGGTAAAATATTCGTGTCGGACTCCAACGCCCCAAGATCAGAGACAAGGTAGACAAAGAGGATTGGCTTCGGTTCGTTGAGATTAAGGCTGTAGTTGTGATTGTGTGCACGCTCGTTAATGGATTTGTCATGGCTGAGTGCCTTTCTAGTTGGTGCCGGGTGCTTAGCTTTGGGGTACCTAACCGGAACTCGCCACCGTGCTCACTCTATTGTTGTTAAACAAAACCCTGCAGCTTTCGCCGTCGATCGAAACAAGGGACCCCTCGACATCGAAAAGCTCGCAGACATCGTCGAAGACTTCAAAATGGTATTCACGCGATAGTTCCTCTTCTTATTTTTGTTTTTTTTTTCCAAGACAGGTTTGATAAAGAAAGTCAGGTAGTCTGATTGTCTGCGTCTCAGGTATTGGTTGTGAGGAACGACTTGAAAATGGGTAAAGGAAAGATTGCTGCTCAATGCAGGTAACATTTATCATTTCCAGCCTGGAATCCTTCTACTCACTAAATGTGTAGGCTTTTTGAATTTTTATTGATTAAGAGAACATTTAAAACTTAGGGCTTTATAGTTCAATGGCCGAGCAGCTGCCCAACTGCGTTATGTGCTCGGCCAACTACCCATCATGCATCTTCATTATGAGAAAATATTATCAATTTAACAGCTAGGCAACTAGCTAATAATCAGATATAAGCATTTAACGGAAGTTACGTAACAATGCAAGTGCCATGCAATAATTACAAGAACTGCTCAATGGTACAACATATGTAAGAGTTTAACAGTTGGAATGCTGTAGGAATAAAAAGCTAAACAAATATTGTAATAGAAAAATCTGGTGAATCAGTCCAAAAAATAAAGAATCATAAACAAAGTAAGAAGAAAAGAAATTGAAAAAGTTTTGCACAATTGAGACTAGAGAAGGAAGAAAAACATGCTAAAGTCAGAAGAGTATTTTAGGATTCTCTCAGACTCTATCCACCGAGAACCTCTTGCTTCTAGTTACCATGGTGTCCTCCCTTTTTTGTTCCCCAGCCCCTTTTTCTATCCTGATCTTTCGAACTTCTCTCTTCCTAGCTTCTTCTATTTCTCATTTCCAGGGAGCCCAATTTTTATCCACTACTCACATATAGCCTGGCAGAATGAGACCATACAAATAATTATCTGTCAAGCCTAACTGTAGTGGACTGGCTATTTGGACTTTTGGACTGTCACTATTTCCAGATCCTGCATTTTTCTTATTTTCTTGATCAGTCAGCATGGGTTAACAAAATTTTCCCTGATGATGACAACGTACTAGGAACCTCTCCTTGAACAACAGCTTCAAGAGAACAGTAGGGGCTAAATCTTGATCAACTGGTCACAAAACCAAGGGAACAATTGATCAACTCCAACTGTTTTTATTTCTCCAAGTAACCAAATTCCCCCAACAACTGTACCGTAATCAGAATTGGATCTCTTCCCCATGCCCCTAAGGCCCTAACTCCTCCCTAGTGGTTTGCATTTTAGATCCATGCCAAAAGGTTAATATTACTACAGTTAACCTGTTAATTTTTTTGAAAGATAGTTAACCTGTTAATTGGGGAGGCTGAAATCAACAGTTGTTCCTATGATTAAATAGGCTACTAGGCGGACCATTTGCAATGCATAAACACATGGTTGACTAAGCAATATGACTTCATGCCCATCATATAAGTAACATGAAATTTGCTTTTTTTCCCCGATGTATGATGAACCTTTTTTATTTCTAGCCATGCTACTTTGGGCCTTTACAAGAAGCTCCTTCATAGAGCTTCAAAAGCTTTGGGCAGGTACATTCTCATATTACCACTCATAAGATTCTTTTTTGGGTTGAGATTTGAGTGTTGTTCATTGTTTCTATCTACTTTCTGCAACTAAAATTTGCCTATCTTTTTCTGGGGGTACGTTTTTAGCTTTCATTTTTGCTCTATGCAGGTGGGAAATGTGTGGGCAAGTTAAAGTTGTTTTGAAATGTGAAAGTGAAGAAGATCTGTTGATTTTACAAGTAAGAATAATTAAAATTGTCATTTTTTAGCATGATATGGGTTCTATTAGCAAACTCATCTTTGATAAGCACCCTTTTCTGCCTTGGGTTTCATGGGATTTTTGTTTCAGAATAGGGATTAAGAGACTATGAGAGTTAGGAGGCTAGGGCTTTAATCATGTTGCATTCGACCTGGATAAGGGTTTAGTAAAGTTCATCTTTGACATTGTTACATTTTTATGTGATTTATATAAAAGCTAGCTATCTATCATTGATATTGCCAAGGGAATTTGACAATCAATTCAATTCTTTTACACCCTTCATCTGCCATTTTTTTGATAGGTAAAAATAAAATATCATTAAAATAAAAAAGAATCAATTTATCAAAAAATAAAAAAAAACCAAATCTGTTTGGTGACAAGGCATCACCTGGTTAAAACAAATAAAGGAAGTTGCCCAGATTCAATATAAACTTTCCAAATTACATATTTGAAAACCCAAAACTTCCCCTAAGTTTTCCCCCAGGTCCTCCTTGTCAAATTGACTGAATTCTGGGTGTACCATAACCCAATCAGCCACTGATTTTCTAACAGCAGATACTATGCTGTCCGATCTACAGGATATATCATAAAAAATTCTTCTATTACTCTCCTTCGAAATATTCCAACAGATTGCAAAAGGAATGCAGCTCCATATCACCTTCGCCTTCTTGCTACCTCTTAACTTTGGCAAAGAAGAGAAAAATTTCTGTAGCTGAGTTTGAATGAAAATCAGATACCCCAAACATAGCGGTGAACAATCTCCACAGGAAACCAGCAATCTTGCAACAGAAAAATAAATGTCTGACATTCTCCTCCTGCTCTTTGCATAAACAGAACCTGTTGGCCATACTGAAACTTCTTGATTTCAAATGATCCACAGTCAAGGTGCCATCCATATTCACCAGCCAAGCAAAAGCCTCAACCCTTGGGGGTACCGGGTTTCTCCACACACCTTCTAATTGGATTGAATCTGAACTGATTCTGCTGATAGCTAAATTACAAGATTTCACAGTGAATTTTCCATTTGAGCATTCATTCCACTATAGTTCAACCCTTGACTGAGAAGTGATTTTCACAGCCTCTAGCTTTTCCAGCAGAGAAATGCATTCTTCCACCTCTCTATCCAGCAGAGGTCTCCTGAATTTCGGGCTCCATATCAACTGATCTGCCCTTCTTTCATAGCAGCATCTAATAGTAACTTCAGCCTCAGCCGACCTATACAATCTTGAACATAACTCATTCAGCTTGCCAATCCCACACCAATCATCCTCCCAAATCCTAATTCCTGAGCCGTCTCCTACTGTAAAACTTGTTAGACTTCTGAACTCTCTGTTAAATTAAATCTCATAATCCTTTTCCACACACTCACCCCATATTAAGACCTCACCTGTCTAGGCTCCCAACTGAACCTCACCAGTTACCACCCCGTACTGCCCCACCACCACCCTCCTCCGCAATGATTCTTCCTCTCTCCCTAACCCAAATCCGCATAATCACTTTCCCAACAATTGCCTGTTAAAAACTCTCACTTTCCTATGCTCCAGCCCTCCCTGTTAAAAACTCTCACCCCCTACCCACGCCCTCTCATAAGAAATCCCTCTGCCTTCTTGATTCTTTCAGCCACTTGAGTTGGGATCTTCAGCAAGGACATATAATAGGTTGGTAAACTTGAAAGGACACTTTTAATTAAAGTTATTCTCCCCCCACCCCCACCCCAAAGCAGAGATGTTTTGATTTCCACCCATCCAGCCTTCTTTCAATCCTCTCCAAAATTGGTCTCCACAATGTACCTGAATTTGATGCCCCTTATTGGCATTCCCGACTAAGTTAAAGGGAGTTCACCAATTCTGCATTCAAAAGCATCAGCACAATCCAACAGAACTTCTCTTTCAATATCTCCAACTCCAATCAACATACTCTTTGAGAGGTTAACCTTCAAACCTGTTAACGGTTGAAAATTTGCCAAGATTGCCCTCAAATTTAACACTTGTTCAATCGAGGCATCCAGAAAAAATCAAGGTATCATCTGCATACTGCAGATGAGAGATACATGGGCCATCCCTTTCCACCTTAAAATCTTCAATTAAACCCCTTTGCCCACTTCTCATCAAGAGAAGGTTCAATATCTCCATAACCAAGACAAATAGCATAGGAGATATTGGATCTCCTTGTCTCAAACCCCTAGATGCTTGAAAAAACTCCATGGATACGCTATTTAGAAGAATAGAGAAGGAGACTGTAGACATACATGCATACATCCTAGATCTCCATCTTTCACTGAAACCTATCAACCTTTGAATTTCTTCTAAGAAACCCCACTCCATGTGATCATAAGCTTTCTCAATGTCAATCTTACATACCGGGCCTGGTCTACCACTCCTCAATCTGGAATCAATGCATTCACTTGCCACTAAGACTCCATCCAAAATCTGCCTTCCTTCCACAAACGCTATTTGAGATTCCCCGACAACCTCATGCAGAAATTTCATCAGTCTCTTTGATAAAACTTTAGCCAACAACTTGTACAGGCTGATGATTAAGCTTATTGGTATGAAATCCTTCAATTCCACTGCTCCCTCCCTTTTTGGAATCAAAGAGATAAAAGTAGAATTTGCCATCTTCTCCAAGTTCCTTTCCCTATAGAATTCCTTAAACAATAAATCAAAATCTCTTTCCAGCATGTTCCAGCATGTGTTAGTAAAAGCGAAGTTGAATCCATTTGGTCTTGGGGCTTTATCCCCATTTATGTCTTTTATGGCACCTTTGATCTCCTCCATTCTGAATTCATTTTCAATCCAAGTTGCTGAAGCTTCACTCAACTTCTTGGGAGTCATCTCCCCTAGGGACATCCAGCTCCAGACTCCTGAGGTGTATAAACCCTTATAAAAACCAACCACCTTCTCCTGAATTTAATTCCAGGCCTCCACCATCTCCCCACCCACTTGAATTCTTGGGATAAAGTTTCTCCTCCTTCTAGCACTAGCATCGACATAAAAGAAGGCTGTGTTTTTGTCGCCTGCTTTCAGCCAAGTCATTCTTGACTTTTGTCTCCAGCTCTCCTCTTCTGTGTATTAAGCTTTTTAACTCAAATTCCAACCTTTCTCTTTCCACTCTCTCCTTCCTAGATAGATATCCCACTTCCTCCATCCTGTCTAATCTGGCTGTTTTCTCTAAAATTTCCTTATTCTTGTTCCCCACGTTACCAAAAACAGCTACATTCCATAGCTTGATTTCCTCTTTCAATAGCTGCAATTTCCTGACCAGCAGCACCAGCTTGAAGCCTGCAGATCCCTCCACTTGCATACCTCCCCATTTCTCTTTCACCCAATCCAAGAAGTCTGGATGGCCCGATCGCATGTTTTCAAATTTAAATGATCTTGGTCTTATAACCACTACAAATTGTCTCAAGATCACTGACTTATGATCTGACATGACAAAAGGCAAAGCTTCTTGAATCATTTCACCTATGTGTTCCTCCCAATCTCCAGAATAGAGAAAACCTATCCAACTTTCTTAAAATAGGTGGAGATTGCCCATTCTTCTAAGTGGATCTACAACCACTAAGGGGAGGATCAATTAGTCTATTTCTCTTGATAAAATCACCAAACCTCCTCATACCCAGATTTTCACTTCCATCCCTCCCCCCTTTCATTTCCCCCATTCTTCTGACTATGTTGATTTCCCCTAGACACCAAGGACCACCCCACTCTCGCCTCTCTCCCTCCAGTTCTTTCGACAGTTCCATCCTTGCCCCTTCTACGTTTGGATCATATACGTTTGTAAGTCCTCATTGCCACCCCCATCCGCCATCTGAAAACAAATCGAAATGGAAACCCTTCCTTTTTTGTTCTCTGATTCTCCTAAGGCTCTTGGGATCCCAAATTACCACCAAACCCCCTAAGAGGCCCACCGCATTCACCTCCATCCATTCTCCACTATTGGAACCCCAAATTTCATTCTTCAAACTCATGTCAAAGGATTCCAACTTAGTTTCTTGTAGCAACACTACATCAGGATTGTGTTTTCTTAGAAAATTCTTTATGACCTCCCTTCTTCTCTCATCTCCAACCCTCTAACATTCCAAGTAACCGATTTCATCTTCTAGCACTGCCTCCACTCCTTGAGACAGATATTTTTGTTGTAAGTGTCAAGGTTCGGCTATGTTAGTTTCCAGAGAAGGATGGAGAACATAGAGACCATTCTCAAGTTCTCTGTATGCGATGAATTTGTTATTTCTTTTAATAGTAACAATTTTGAAACAGAAATCAAATTTCTTCTCAAATTTTGTACATAAAGACAATCTTTCAGTACAATTGATCATTCTCTGAAAAATAACTCTACGGTTCCTATAGCCGTAGCTGCAACACTTGCAGAAGTCCCCAAGTAAAGAGTTACTTCTCCGTCACTCAGTCTTCTGCTTATCCTGAA